GGACAACTCAACCACTCCGTCATCTCTGGTTGGGACATTTTAAAGGCTTGAGAGCCGGGTGTCTAAAACAACAGCCCCTACCCTCCTCCTCTTCAGCTGTTCAGACTCATTTAAAGAACAATACTTTTCCGCCCTTATTTATCTGCTGCTTGGGGCTGTGCAGCTATTTATGGGTAGTGTTTGTAGCAGACAGGAATCTGCTGCCTTTAATTCACCACAGCCTTGATTCCCGAGTGGATGGTCATGGCACCAGATGAACTCTGTAAGAACAGGTATTGATTGTCACATCACTTCGCACATCATGCTCTCTTAACCGCAAACGACCCAAATAGAAAGGGAGCTAAATTTGTACTGCAAGGTACTATTAGGGTTTTGTATCTTGCAGATTGTCAAGTTAATGCTTTAATCCGGTATTTATAATGCTTTATGATCTAAAAGGCAAAGCTTGCTTGATGTACGACAACCCTCAGTCCTTTCAAACACCTAAAACACATTTTAATGGAAGGTAAATCAAATACAGAGATGTATTTGTTTACAAAGAGATGTGCAAACAATGCACAGCAGTCCAAGAGCTGGTATGGACACACCAATCCTCTTCTAGAGAATCATAGATTTTGAAAGTTCTATTATCTGTAATTCGGAAGCCATCCAAAAGCTGAACAAAGCGTTTGATTTCCTCTACATGGGCATGTCTGGGTCAACAACAGATGCTGCCCAGAGAGCTGAGCTAATCGGTAGAGTGGGAGTAATACCATAAGGTAATGACAGACACAAGTGGATTAAAAGGGAATGTTGATGGACATGATGGTACAGATGAGTGACACTCCAGTGTGAAAGAAAAATCCAACATGAGGGTGCGACAGGGGATGGTGAAGCTGCAGTTGAACAAAAACTCAATTAGAAGATATCTACAATCAAGATGTTATTTATCCTTACACGGTTCAACCCTCACACTTTCCATCCAGCTTCCATCATCCCTCAGGGGTAGTTTTTTCCTGAGCACTCATCAACATTCCTCTCCTGTGCTTCACCATCTTGTCTTTCTCCAGTCAAATCAATCTAAACCAATCCAGTATGCCAAGCTTTGCAATAATACTATCTGTTTGTACGCCTCAAATCTTCTCTTGTACCAAGGATGGTAGAAACACGCACGCATCAGTAATACAATACCACTTTCAAAGTCACTTTGAGGATTCCTATGAACAAGCTGGCAGGCAAGCCATAGAGTGATGGAGCTCCTCACAGCCAGTAACAACAAACTGTGCTGCCCTCAAAAAAAAAAAAAAAAAAAAAAAAAGCAGAACCACATTGTAAACCTTAAACTGTTGCAAATTCTCAGCATTTGTACCTTTTAAAACAATTAAAACATAAACTGTAACAGGTGGTTGGATTCCAGCTGCATGCTGGCAACATACTGTTAAAACTCCTACCTTTCTTTGTGGGCTCTGGCATCTTGAGCTGCGTCCCAAAGAAGCTACCAATGAGTCAAAAGATGCAGGTAGGATTCTTGTATGAGGCGTGGGAGCCTCCTCAGTCCAGGAGGGACAGATAGGTGCTGATGGTGAGTAGGACAATAGCGAATAAAAACCCTCAGAGGCCCCTTGCAGCAGAGTGATGGGAGATGAAGAGGGCACAGGGATACGGTTTGGAAAAGTCAGTGGGGAGAAGAGGGAGACTGATAACAGATCAAGGAGGGACAGGCTGTAAGGCCTTATATAGAGATGTGGCATGCTCCTCCTCTCTGTAGTTGACAATGCAGCTCCATCCTACACCTACTGTAACATTATTGTCCCCTACCCAGTGCGAGGCCATGAATTACAAGTGCATCAGGATGTTAAATTCACAACACTTTTAACTTGACTCATTCTCAAAGTTTACATCAGTGTTTACAGCATATTTTGGGTGATGTTTTAGAGTAGTAATATTATAACAAATTATTATTTGAGCATTTAAACACACAGATGCATTGTTTAAGTTTTGTTTTTCTGTTTTTTTAGTAAGCTGTGCTTACAAAGGCTTAAACTTTGTATTTAGTGGAGACTATTTTCAGTGTTAGATATTGTTTACTAACTTGTATTTAAGGCTGCAGCATGATGTATGTGGGATCGACCTAAAAATAGACCACACACATACATTGTGATCAAATAAATATGTCGCTGTGGTGCTGTACAGTACATTCAGCTACATGTAGAATTATGGAAATTCCAGATTTTGGAATTTTCCAAAATACCAACATCAAATTAACTAATTAGTCTTTGAAATTATTTGCTGTGGCCTTTATCTTACTTTGTAATATCATTACTACTAAGATTGTAATCACTGGCAAAACAGGAGGTGGGATATAAAAGGAAAAGGTGTCATCATTGTTAACAGGCCTGAGGCTGATGTAATACTCTCCGACAATCCTGGGTTATGCTCACATGATATACAACATATTCAGAGACTGTATGGATTCGTTATTCAAAAAAAAGAACAAACTTAGAGTTGACAAGCAGGGGCTCAATGCCAGGTGCCAGATATCAGCTTAATCCAAGGGGAATGCTGTCCAAGAACAGCAGGCTTTCCGACCTGGCAAATAAATAGTGGGGAGATGCCTGGGCACTGGTTATACAGCCTATACTTAGAAAGCTGTCATAAACCTTGACATTTGACATGTGTATCTGACATGAAAAGAGGGTTTCATTGAGATTTATGTAACTGAAAGGGTTGCTTTGGTCTTAATTAATCTTTTTAGCACGTCAAACTCAAGTGATAAATCAAACGTAGTCTTTAATAAGGTCGTGAAGACTAAACAACAAGGCTGAAAGCTGATGGATTTACGAGCGCCAACACACTGAAGCGTCTTCACGTGTACAGTGTCACTCTCCTGCTACTGACAAATATCACGAGCATGTTGGGGACCTCTCTCATATGGAAGTGGATGGCCCAACTGCACAGTCAAGGCAAGGCTGAGCTCTATTTTGGGGCTGTGGAGCAGGAATGCAGCTTAAAGCATTATGAAGAAACAGAGACAGTCACAGCTTATAGCAAAGCTCTTTTTAAATGAGCAACAACAAAATTAGACCCATTCTGCAAACCAAAGCAAATTATCATCCTGTGATTAGGAAGCATTCAATTTATCATACATTCCTGCCTTAAACACCTGTTTTCATAGTTCAGTTTGTGGCCTTTCTTGGTAACAGACAACCATAGCTCAGTTAGCCCATTTATAACTGCAAGTGGGCTCCAGCAGTAAATACTGGGCTTAGGGAAGTATCATGTGGGCTACAAAGAGAACAAAACCATTTGGAGTTGCCTGTGAGGGACAAGACTTCACATCACAGAGGAGGCTAAGCCGTGAGGTCACGTCACACAAATGAAGTTTAATGGAAGCTGGAGGCATTGAAAAGGACTACACTGACACCCTCTGGCTTCTAGCAGCCATCAAATCCATCACATGAGGAAAAACACAAGTGCAAATTCACATTTCTGTCCATTGAGAAAGACAAAAGCAACTTTGTTTCCAAGAGAACGTGTGACTGAAAACTACAGTTTTTCCTGTAAAATACTCACAACCAAAAGTGTATTTTGGAGAGATGCATTTTTAGGACACATGCAGACATGCTTGCAGAAGAAATTATATTTAGAAAGGAATAATTACAAACTATCGGCCCGTGTAAAGACCATACCCATGTGGATTTGGAAATTCAGGACTTCAGTGGTCAGCGAACGGAACTTAATTCACATTTCTCTCCCTCTGTTGGTTATTTTGTATTCTAGATCATATACAGATATTGAGGACTGGGGATTCACCTGAAACCTAAGCAGAGTTAATTAACTGCACCTGTATACATATGCTCTGGGCTTGAAACTGTGATGCTCAATTGCATCGTTAGATTACAGACAGTTAGGATAACAGTGCGTTTTCCATGCTAAATCAATGCTGTAGCTGGGCATCAAGTATAATGTCGAGTTATGAAATATATAGCTGTCTTGCAAAGCGGGCCATTAACATGCTGAATAAATAACATAAAAAAATAAACATCAAATAGCCCACCTCTGTGTGGCTTTTTCACCACATCACATAGTTTAAAATCTCAAGTGTGAAAACTTATAATAAAAGGTTTTCACCGCATTTTTATTAAATACCGTACTCTGCAAAAGTTTCAAGACACCTCTCCTTTCTTTGTATTTTGCTTCCAAGCAGCCAGACTTTCTTGTGTTTTTTAAGTGGTCAGTTTTTTAAGTATCATTTCTCCGGGCTTTCTGAACGTTTTTCACTCATTTTTAGTCCAGTCCTCGTACCTGAGGAACAAAAATTCCTCTGCAAGTGGCTACTTACGCTACTTAAGACTACTAAAAAAGGCCATAAAAGGCAGAAAAATCCAGAAAAAACCCTGACACAGGACCTGAAAGAGATATCTAGTCTTTCAGCTGATTCATTTAATATTTCCTGAAGCCGCATCAGAAACATGCAAATATTATGTGGACCTGTTCTTTATAAAATGTAAGCTTCAAATGTGTAATTAGGAGAAGGGTGAGTGATTTCAGCTCTGTATGTGGCACATGGATCGTAAAACGTCCATGCTTATGTAAAGGTTTTCAAAAAAAAATTTAAAATAGAGGTGGTCCGGCAGAAAGTAAAAAGCCAAAACTTCATATGTATGTATACATTTTGTCTCAGCCCTGATAAAGTCTCTGGAAATTTGCATTAAAAACATTAATAAGCACATCTTTGTTTGAACACTCGCACTGTTCTTGCCTCCATAAACCAGAATAATTGGGACATGATTGGGACATTTACTAAAAAAAAAGTTTAAAAGTCAAACTCCATAAAGATAGAAACAATAACAGTAAAATATTTCTTTATTCTTTTGATATTTACACCACAAGCCATCAATAGTCTGAGTAATAATGGAAAAATGTAGGAAATGAAAGTTGAGATTAACAGGCCTTATAAACAGGAAAAAAAGAGCACAGTTCACTTGACATGATGTGAGCTACAGAAAACCGAGCCTACATTACAAATCTCGATGACATTTCTGCAGCAACATCAGGGTGTCTCGGCTAAACTGATAGGTGAGCTTCTTCTTCACCTTGAAGATCTCTCCAGACCGGGCATAGTTTCTTAGCGCCCTGGACATCTTCTGGTAGGTCATGAGTCTCTTGTTGCCTTTTCTCTGTCCCCACAGTGCAGCCACCTGATCCTTATTCCTGGAGGAAAAGCGGAAAACACCAGCGGCAGCTGGCACCCAGGACAAACAGTGGGCCATGTTTGGATTCTCCAGCATCTCAAAAAGGAAGTGAAAGAGTCGCACCCTTTTACCTGCAGCCATTATGCAAACAGTAAGTGGCCTGTATGATGAAGGTGGATTTAAAGAAAGACTTATCGAAAATCATGGCAGCTGTGCCAAAACAGTTACTACAGATTACAGTTAATCGTTTCCTCAATTGTCACATATTCCCAGAAAATCTCTTCAGTGATGGGATTCCACTTAGTGGAGAGGCTAAAGCTGTAAACAGTGTGATTATCAGATAGATATGTAAAAACAGCTATTGTGGTAAGCGATGCACGGCTCCATTGTTTTTTACGGTAAAGGGAAGGTCTCCCATTTGCTCTCTTGGTATTATTTCCCTCATGCTGATAGCAACAGAGACAATAACAGTATCCAGTGACCAAAAAAAGCAGAACTCACCACTCCCCCCTGCTGCGGCTGGGTGTTTGGTTGATTTTCTTGTTGTCGTGAAGCTTGGCACTGACCCACGCTCAGACAGTGTTGCTGTTGTGTTTTGGCCGAGTCCTGCTGGAGCATCTTGTGCAAGGAAGGGCTGGAGTGCAGGTTTGATGTTCTTCAATTAGGGAAAAAAGATGAAGAAAATAAAAGAAGAGAATCAACAGAATTTCCAATTGCAGAGTGCTTACCAGCCTTCAAATATGTGAGAGACAACAAGTGCTAAAATACAAATTATTGATGCATACAGGTGGCTCATAGTATGCCCAGCGTTGCTTGCATGTTTCGTCTGCAGGTACATTTCTTTCCTCCATAGCCGTCCAATGCACCTTGTCTGTCAGAAAAAGCAGAAAATTACTTAGAGTCAAATAAAATCAGAGAATAATTAGTAGATTTCCAGTTTCCGCTTACCATTTTCTGCATTGTTTTGTCTGTGATACTCCTCGAGGAACTCTAATATAACCTCCAAATCAGACTGAGTCTCCTGGAAAAAAATTCTGATAGATGTAAATAATATAAAACCAGCCTTGAATATGTCAGAATTGAAAAGATGTTGCAAGAAATTCTGAAGACTTCTCTTTACCATCACTGATAAGGTTGATTCGAATGCTGTACAGTCCTTGCAGAATGGGAGAATTACACACAACTGACACTGAGACGCTCAAGTTCGGGGACTCTTATTATACCCCCCACTGGAGCGGGCTTTCTGCATACATAAAACCCAACGTTTTCTACCCTGGGCTCGCAGGAACAATGACCACCATCCCACAAAGCCCCCGACACAAGCACCAGTCAACCCATCAACAAAGCCTCCCAGCACTGACCACATCCTCCCCGCTGAACCAGATAAGACCTGGCCTGGAGGCAGCTTCTACACAATGCGATTCAGGAAAACACACACTTGCTGACACATTTTTCCTCACAGGATGTGTCTTAATTTCATATTTTGTGTGCCTGTTGTAATATTTCACTGCATTGGAGACGGTGCCAAATCTTTCAACATGTTTTTAAAAAATATATTTTTGTACGATAATAGCAGCGTGTAGCTTTATTTTGAGTTTTCTTTTTTTTTTGGAGAGATGTTGAATCATTGAAAGATGATGATATTTTCATATCAGCAAAACTGAACAATACTGAGAAAATGATTTAATCCTTACACTTTAAATTATTATATCTTAGTATTTATGGATAAAGATTAGTGCAACCATGAAATATATTTTCCACTTAATATTTACATGTCATGTAAAAATAATCATTAGAATTTTAAACATTATTACCTCTTTTTATTAGTATATCAAACATGCTACAGTATAATTTATATGTTTGGTGGTAAATCTTGAATAATCTAGTGGCGATATGATGGTAATTATGAAGGCTGTAAACTAATCAAATTAAAATATAGTTTGAAAAAATGTAACTAAATTCCAGGTTTTCATTTTTTGCTATATTAGAATTTAAAAAAAAAAGATTTTATATTTTCGTGTTTTATTCTGTGACCCTATGTCTGTAAAAAAAAGTTTATAAAAGTTTAAAGTTTTTTACTTATTTACTTCAGGCTCTATACAGACCTACAGTCAATCTTTCTTTTTAAAGAAACATTAACCAGCTACTGGTTCCTGTCAACATTAATTGAACTGAATTTGATTTAATTTACTCTGATTTATTTGGACATGTAAAAATGTTTACAACAGTGTTGTTGAATGCTTACAGTGACATAAAAACAATCCAAACGGCAAAAAGAAAACTGGAACATATTAAAGTAAAACAATATGCTAAATGCATGAGATCCACATAGGTTTAAAAAAAAAAAAAGAAGAGTAAAAGAGGCACTAACAGATTTGTAATCATGAATTTCAGTTCACTAATTGCTTAAACAATTTTTTTAATATTAGCAATAAAAGAAATACAAGTATACAAATTAAAATTTTAGTTACATCCGTGATTTTAACTGATGGCTTTGGATTATCCGTCATTTTAGCTTTACCCCTTCTTTAAAAGTACGTGCCTGTATCATCCAACTAAAGTGTTGCTAAAGCAATACAGTTTAATTTATTTTGTTATAAATTACAAAATGAGAATATTAAAGTCTTATTTACAAGTAATATACAGTGAAATCTCCTTCATATACTACTAAAAACAACTAAAATAATGTACACAAACACTTCTAAATCACAGCATACAGAATAAATTTACAAAGTCTGTTACTTTTTCTGTCCCAAATTCTCAAATAATGACATGCTTTGAATAAATAGGGATCCAGAAAGAAAACCTCTAAGGAAAACCACTTTAATTTGGTTCTGTGAGGTTAATTTTACTCTTAACTTTTGTTGCTGCTGCCTTGAAGTCAATCTGGTAAACAAACAGTATGTTAAATAATCCACACAGTACTGGTTGCAACTGCCAGAAAATGTGTATGTTGTTCAGTAAAGGTATTGAAATAAAAAAAAAACAATAGAAAACAAAAACATTTTTATAGGTTTTTTGTAAATTAATACATTTTACAACCAGGATCCAGCATGTAACGAAGATATTTGAGTCTTTGAAAACTTTGACATCCTGAGAGCTCTCCACCACCTCAGAGTTTGGTGTGTGAGGTGAAGCTTGCGGCCAGGTCGTAATCTTCGTGCGGCTGATAGTGAGCGTACCAGCTGTGCCAGTCTGCTGTCGCAGAGCCGCAGTAGCTCTGCTCGGACGGATTGTGCTGCTGGGTGTGGGCCTCCTCCTGTGGAGGGTGACGGGGCAGGTGCATGGGCACATGTGCAGAGCCGAGCCTGTGCAGGATGTCTGGGTTAAACTGGTAGGTGAGTTTGCGGCGCACTTTAATGATCTCCCCAGTACGGCTGTAGTTTCTCAGAGCTCTTGCCATTTTCTGATAGGTCATAGTCTTGCGGTTGCCCTTACGCTGGCCCCAGCACTCAGCCAGCTTCTCCTTGTTTTTGGAGATGAAGTGGAAGGTGCCGCTGCCGCTGTCCGTCCACTGGATTGAGTCACCCATGTTGGGGTCATTCAGAGCCTCATGCAGGTATTCATAAAGTCTGAGCTTCTTCCGACCTGAGGAGACGGACAACAGCGTCGTTTCAGTTTTGATTGCACAAAAACGTGTGACAACAACTAATTTTCAGGTGTTTTTAAAACACTGATCACCTTTGCCATTCCTTTGTGGTGGTAAGATGGAGTAAAAATGTGGGGATTCATTTTGCACCGAGTGACTCAACGAGACATCGGGTATGACCTGAGGCCAAGACTGCTGCTGTAAAAGACACATTTCATATAAATATCCAGATTTCTATATTCTCGGTTCTCAAACGTATCAATGCTTTGCACTTACAGCCATGTCATTCCAGTCATAAACAGGAGTTGGGACTTCAGACTGGTGTGTGACGAGGCAACAGGAGATCTGACACTGCAGTGATTGGTGGTGACTTCCCAGATTCTCGTAATATGAATAATCTGAAAAGACAATTTCAACTTTAGTACATCAAAAATCATGTCAAACTTTAAGAATAAAGACTCAAATTGGGTTTTTTACCTCACCACAAAGAACCCCTCCCCAAATAAAAACAATTCAATCAATCTAACAGATGCGTAAAGTTCACCTGAATCGTAGTATGAATTGTTCGAATGCTGCTGAATCACATCGATTGCATCCTGAAAGTGCTGATTGATGTCACTGTCCAAAGATGTCTGAAATAGAAATCCACCTCATTTTATACAAAATAATATAAAGAGGTAAAAGAATAATAAAGCATGAAATGCATTTAATATTTATTTAAAAATTGAAACATTTGTAATTAGCATTTATTCTAACTCACCAATTTGTATGTGTTTCCCTCACTTGAGGCCATTTCTGTCCCTACCGGTGAGCGCTGCTACACTAGTGCAGGTGCACACTTTGGACAGGTATATATATGTAGGAGACCTCCAATACCCGTTTGCCGTTCAGCCACATAATAGAAAGAGAGGCCGGTCAATTTAAATGTTTTAATGTACCGCACTTCTTCTTTTTTGGAAGCACAGACCAGATAGACTTCTGAGCATCACTTTCTCTCTCTCTCTAATCACGCAGATTACAATCTACCAAGAACAAAAAACTCTTTTATTGCGTGCTCCAGCCAGGGATAACACCAATTCTCAGCCTTACCAAAGAATTTGCATACTGGGCGAGATGTCACTAACATATCTATAATCTGGGCTGTCCAGTTATTCGGTTTTTGGAGGATGAAATATGAGTCAGTGGAGCTGCAGGAAATTTTCCATTGTGGCTTTCGTCTTCTGCAGATAAATAAATTAGAATTTTCCTAAAAAGTTAAAAGATAATACAATAAATTCACAGAACACTAAAAAAACCAAAAAGTGGATTTTAACTTATCTTCCACTTTAACTTTTGCATCCACTGTAGCGTCATTTTTCAATCATTTATTTAGCCAATTCAAAGTTTACTAATGCAACTTTAATCTGAAATTCTATCGCTACGCCGCATAAAAAGTTCAATCCTAGAATTTCCGATGCATTAAACAAAAAACATTAAGTTAAAATCGGAAAGAAAAGCACTAAAAACAGTCATTATTACTTCTGTACAATAAACATGATCATTAAAGAGAAACAGCTGGCATGGTTACAGTTATGTACTTATTAATAGAAGAAAACAAGCTTCATATTCAGGTGTACAAGGACTCGGTGTGGAGCTGAAGCCAAATAAAAAAGCCACAAGCATATAAATTTTCAATCGAGCAGAATGCTTTTAATGCAGCTTCAGATAAACGGGATTGTAAAGGTTAATGGTTAATAATGCGATCACTGTTGAAGTAAGCCTGAGTCTTTTTCTTTCTTCTTTTTTTCGCACCACAGAGCTAACCCCCCTGTTCAAATAAACATTGGCTTTTTGAGAAGTTCTTTTTCACAGGCGTGGAGTTTTAAATATCAACTGACTAGTTCCTGAAGTTCCCCTTTCAGCTCAGTTAAAGTTTGCAGGCAGTCAGGCCCGAGTGCACAGCTGGAAACGCCATGGAAACAAAGATGTGGACCTGCAGAGATTATAACTTATGTTAGGGTTATGTTAGCTTCACTCAGATGATGTGATTTGCATTTTAATTCTAAGATGTTTTTACTCTTGAACACATTTCCCCCCAATAAAATTACAGTTAATTATCCGTGTGTGTGTGTGTGTGTGTGTGTGTGTGTGTGTGTGTGTGTGTGAGTGTGTGTGTGTGTGTGTGAGAGAGAGAGAACAAGCATGCAAATGTCAGTGTGAGTGCGTGGCACATGTGTGTGTTTCCTGCCAGTGCAGCAGGC